GACTGATTTCATGGATCCGGAACGCATTGACTTCACTGGGCCATCGACCCTGCCACAGCAGGAAACGCGACGACACCCAGCACGGGAAAGGCGAGGACGGGGATGCAGAACCGGGGGTCATTACCGGGTTCCGGGGGATCACTGATTTATCTGTTTTTTTATCTATTTTTTAATGTAATACATATGGGTGTAATCATTTTTTTAAATAAAAAATTATTTTTGTTGATCCTGTATCGAATACGCAACGCACCGGACTGGAAAAAAAAACGTGAAATTTGCCCTAGAATTGCATTAAGGCGCCATTTCACTTGGCTTAGGACATGCCCTAAGCACCTAGGCGCCAAGTGAGATGGCGCCTCCCCTTAAATAATGGGTGTAGGCGCCAAGTGAGATGGCTCCTCCTTTGAGGAGTCATCTGAAACATGGTTATTTGCGTAATTTTTTCTGAAACGTGGTTATTTGCGATTTTTTTTAATACATGGTTATTCAAAAAAAAAATCGTCTAAAGTGGCCAAATTGTTAATTAAAAAAAATCAAACATTTCTATTTTAATAAAGAATTAATATTCATAACTCTTTTATAATCTTTCGTGTAATATTTAAGTAATAATTATACTTAATCTAACACAATCGACTCCTCAAAGTGAATTGATTGCCTTATTAAAGTCTAGAAGAATCTAATAATAATATTGGGTTTGAAAAATAATATTTTTAACTTTTATATATATATATATATATATATATATATATATATATATATATATTCTGGACTGAGTTCAAGAAAATAAGTTTAATGTCGGGTACGGTCTAATTTATCTTTGCGCGAATAATAACTTAATAAATAGTCTAATTTGTTAGGATATATATTTTTAATTCTTATAAAATTATTAAAAATGACTTTTAATCTTTATAAAAAAATGAGTTTTAATTCTTTAAAATTATTTTATATACAGTTTTAATTCTTTTATAAAAATTAAAATTAAATGTAAAAGTAATTTTATAGGACTAAAACTGAATTTTTTTATAAGAATTAAAAACTAAAATTAAAATATATAAATCCAAACATATTTAATTTTTTTTTATAGAAAGTCTTGACTATTAAATTTGTCAATCATTGGACAACTGGGAATAGAGTTATGAATTGTACTATATCCTGATTTTCTTTTGCGAGATTTAAATTGAATATATTATAGAAGTTGTGCCAATAAAAGTGAGATTTAAATTGAACATATTATAGAAGTTGTGCCAATAAAAAATCACATAAGTAAAATGGTAAATTTTTTAAATATTTATGATAAGCAATTGGATATAGGTGTTTTCACTATAAATTAATTTAAAATTTGAATTTATTTCAAAATAAAATAATTATATAAAGTGATGTATTATTGAATAATAATATTTGATTGGACAAGGATACTCGTATCCAAATAAATTCAAGAGTATTAGAGTGTTCGTCAAATAAAATTATTAAATCTATATTCATTATTCATTAGTTAAGTGGTAATTAGTGTTGAATTTGATAAAAACGACATCGATTCGAGTCTATTGTATTAGATATTGATGGTAAAAACTAATTTTTTAAATTAAATCTATAAAGGAAAATATATGATGAACATTGATAGAGAGAGTTGGATTAAAAGTTATAATTATTATAATTTCATTCATATCAGATCAATTATTCTCATTTTAATCTTCAATACAAATTATCAATGTTTAATTGTCTAGTTCCTTTAACTTAATTTAATAAATGTTACTTCTATCTCACTTAAAAACATCTTCGCTAATCAATTTGATTTATTCTATTAACTTTTAACTTTATATATGTTAGATGAGTCGATATTGTTGAATGTCAATAATTGACTTTGTTAAACTTTTATATATTAACTATTTGATCATTTAAACGAATTCTACACCTTTAAATCTTGATCGTATATATTAAAATAATCAAATGGTTAATATTAAAAAAATTAAGGTCTAGGATTTAAAAATAATATTTATTAATAAGGAATCAACATAAAATTTTAAATTAAATTAAGATATCATGTCATAAATTAATTCAATTATCAGTTATTGCTCAACAAGGATATCCTTGTCTGAAATAGCATTGTGATATCTTTTGCATTGACAATTAATATTTTAATACAAAAGCATTATGCTTAAACAGTATATGTGAATATCATGTTTAGATATATCTCTAGACTATAGCTCATGATAGATAATTCCCTAAATATAAATCTAATAACATCTCTTAGTATCATCTAAATCAACATATTATATTATAAATGATCACACCCTTCAAGGTATAAACGGCGAGTTACTCTTAGTTTATAAGACTCTTTAAGCACCTCATAGATCAACAAGAAAGATATAGATATAACAAACCTTAAGAATAAAATGAACGATCAAATATATTTGATAGGCTAATTCGGGCATAACATCTTGATCACACCAACTACTAAAATACATAATAATGTAGAAAATCTAACACCGATAAGAAATGACGTAGCTGCACGTGACGACGGTAGCTAAAAAAAGTTGCAAAGATAAAATTTCTTTTTGGAGGATCTGATATTGTTAGGTTGAATCCTTCAACAATCTTCGGTATTAAAACAAATACAACTCTCTCTCACTGAGAGTCTTGTTAAACTATAAACTAACTGTTGAAAAACTAATAAGCTCCCCTATTTATAGTTTTTACGGATCAAATATTTTTCGTTAAACAAACAATAATTTTCCCATTGAAACTTTCTTTTGAATTGCTTAGCTCTTAAGTCTTCTCAATCGCCTTTGTTTCCCCCTTTAATTCGTTAGGCGAGCAATAATATATCCTAGTAAATTTTCCATGATCTCGACCCTTTTTGATTTTGTCTTAGATTTGTTGGTCGAGTTGAAATTTTATCAATGAATTATTCTTGTATTTAATACATGCCTTTTATTTTTCATTTGTTGTTTAAGCCTAAATTCGCCCAGCAAATATGACATGACTTAGGTTTCTAGATCTTGGGTCAGATGGTCTTGTTTGGCTCAATGGTTGATCCTTTTAGTTTTAATTTTCCATCTTTAATCTGAAATGATCAAAAATATATACAATATGACTAATGTTTAATTATCGGGACAATTATTAATTAATCATAAATTGGAGGATTTCTTGTGTTACTTTTTAAGTAATCTAATAAATATGTGAATTTTATAGTGATGAATAGATAAACTGCATACTTATCAATTCTCCAAAATTAAACATTTTATTTGCTCTTAAACAAAAACAAACTAAACAATTAATATGTTACTTTGTGTTTAAGTAATCTAATAAATATGTGAATTTGATAGTGATGAATAGGTAAACTGCATACTTATTAATTCTCCCAAATTAAACATTTTATTTGCTCTTAAACAAAAACAAACTAAACAATTAAATATAGTTTTATTAGTATATGCATATATAACTCTTGATTTTGACAGAACATAGTTTTTCAATAACATGTATGAATTTATTAATCATCAATTTCTACCTCACAAGTGTTTCTCTTAGAGGGGTGAGTGTTTCTCGTTTAATGTACACTTGATAATTATATATATATATATATATATATATATATATATATATATATATATATAATCTTATCGATAATGAGAATCTATAATAGGCCAATAATATCGTTCGCAGTGTTGAGAATCAATGGAGGGGATGTACCTGCAAGGCACTCTGATGCTCAAGTAAGTAAGAGTGTAGAAGTAAGTGAGAGAAAAAATGGTTAAAAATTGAATACTTGACCCTCATATGCAGGAGGGTATTTATAGTGCCCCTAGCGATGGGCCAAGGATTCTCATTATGGGATGAATATCTAGGCCCAAAATGGGTAACTGTCAGGATTCCTGCATGAAAGCAGAGATGAGTAGCTCGTGCTCGTCATCCCGGGGAGTTGATCCATATATCATGGGCAATGCGCGAACTGGCCGTCACCAAGGGAAAAAATGTATACTTCAAACTACGCAAGAAGTGAGAGAATAGTTGGCAATGTATCCTCAGAAGAGTGGCGTGCGGGAGATGGGCTTCCTATTAGCCCTAATGGATTGGGCCGGCGCTTTTGAGCCATCCTTGACACATGAGTGGATTGGGCCAGCCACAGGCCTAGTCCAGAATAAGATTCCCCTAAGTCGATGCTTTTGGGTACAGGAGCAGCGACTTAGAGTCTGTCCATGTGTCGAGAAGGAGTGAGGGGATCTATGCAAAGAGAGTCCCTACTGGGGTTCATGGTTGCGAACTTGTGTGGCCTTCGATCGCGCCCGCCATGGTTGCTTCTAGTTTGCGAGTTTATGCGCACGAGGATAATTTCTTGTCAGTAACACTTCAGTGTTCTCTTATGAGGAAGGCGCTTTGTTCGGGGACTGCGGTTGACCATTTTAGCAGGTGTTCTCATGAAGTGTTTGTTTTCACTCGCAATATTGTCGTGCTACTCGTAGACTTTTTTAGAGATTTTCCCGAGGCAGTGCTCGTGAAGGAAAACGAAATCTTGTCGTTTTTGTTTGACGTACGAGGAACTGAAAGGTTGATGGGACTTGAAGAGGTAAATTATTAGTCCCCTTGAAGCACGTGTTGCCGCTATTAACTAGGTCATCATTAGGGTCTATGTATAGGGGCAGTCATAAACTGAAACGGTGACCCGCCATCCCAAGCGGTGTCACACTTTCCCATGAAAATTTAGGTTTATAAATAGGAATGAGGGGGAGTCATTTGCAAAGTTTCCTATATTCTTGCTCTTATCTTCCTTTTGAATTTCGGGATTTCGTTGTCATCTTCGTCATTATTGTTGTTGTCGAATCGCCGTCAATCAATCATCTTCTCTTCATTACTCAAGTAAGTCTCTACCTTTCTTGGTTTTTTTGTTTAGATAGGTCTTCAAATTATAGTTTTTCTTTTCCTTTCACGTTTAGCTCTGATGAGTGTTGGTGTTTGGCGGTGGCTTGGCTATTCTTCAAACATTGACAGTCGTGTTGCCCCTTCTAGTGGGCATTCCAGCGCCTCCGTTTAGGGCGATAAATAAGATTTGTGTTTGGGCTTGCATCAACAATGTTCATGGATTTCATCATGAAGATCATGAGTTTCGCGATGAACTTTACAATTTTCTTGAGTTTTGTGATGAACTTCATGATGAACCCCATGTGAAGTTCATAGTTCATGAGGCGAGGAGCTTCTTCCCTGGGGGATTCGTGGTTTCCCGTGTCGAGGATCTTTTTCCCCACGGAATTCATGGTTTCTCTTAAGGGTTATTCGAGCCCCTAGTCGAGGAGAATACCCTCGCGAATTTGTTGTCGTAGAATAAGGGTGCTAGTCAAGGGCATCGTCCTCGTGTCTTCCTACGCCCATTCACTTGATTTGCGGTGGAAGGATGGATTTAATTTGAATGTTGAATTCACTGTCGTACTCTGCTTTTCAGGTTTTGAATGGCTCGCAGTACTGAGGGTATTCACCTAGTCGACATGATCGTTGCTCTCGAACTGGATTAGGTCGATTTGAAATCTTGAGGGATATCCTCGCGCTTTGCTAAGTTTCTAAAGGAAGCGTTTACCATTGTATAGGAAGGCACGGGCCAGTCAGGGTTTGAGGAAAATTGGGGGGTTTATCAAACCGCACAAGATGAACGGATATGCTTGTCCTTCGCGAGGAATCGATTTGTGAGTACGAGTACATATTTAAGGAACTGGGATTACGGATGTCGTTCAGAAATCTCCAAGTGGGTATTTTCAACCATTTGGAGTTGGCTCCTTCACAACTCCACCGAAACTTGATTGCTTTCATTCAGGATTTCTAGATCCTGTGTCGTTATATCGAGATCGATGTAACGACTCTATTGTTATTTCGTTGCTTCCATCTCTAACCCCAATCCTCGAATGGGAAGCACAATTGGGTCTCTCTCAAACAGGCGAGGAAATTTATCAAGACATTCATGGACTTTGTTCGTACGTTTAAAGACATGTATTATCTGATCAAACCACATTCATCCACAACCACTAATTATGTGTTTGACTGGGAGGTTATCACCAAGGAGGATGAGAATGTGCTCCAGAACGAGAAAGGGAAAGAGGAAAAGCGGATGGTCTAGAGGTTCCGCTTTCATTGGAGTTATGATCACTTTGAACAAGGTACGAATTATTACACTACCAAGCCGAACCAGATGGATTCTTAGGACCAAGCTGGTTATGACAAGCTCGTGGAATTTATTAATAATTTTACTATGTGACACTAGGAAAGAGGAGATTGTTCTTGATGAGCATGGTGAACCCATGTTTGAGGCTTGATACATTAATACCAAAGAGCTCCTCGAGTGTGGTACTGCCGATGAGGTTTTATTGCTCTTAGGTAGGTGTTTTTCTTTTAACTTGTTTGTGTGATTATCTTTCCTTGGTATACTAACCTGTGCATGTTGTTTGTCATAGTAAGTTCTTCGCTGTGTAAATTTTCGAGGTAATAGGCCCCATTTCCCGTTTTTGCTTGAACGTGATATGGGCCTTCCCAGTTTGCAGTGAGTTTTCCCTCGCGAGAGTCTTCAATAAGGTCGATCTCCCCTCTTAGTGCTTCGTCGTTCATCTCCTCATCGAGGAGAGACTCAGTTTGCCTAGAAGGTTCTCTGATTTCCACTAGTATTATCGCTTCGGTCTCGTAGGCTACCCGAAATAGAGTTTGCCCGGTGGTCGAATGTGGGGTTATTCGGTAGTCCCAGAGCATGTTGTGCAGCTCCTCAACCCACTTCTTTTTGGATTCGCCTAATCTTCATTTTAGGCCTCATAGGATTACCCTGTTCGCAGCTTCGGCTTGCCCGTTTGTTTAAGGGTGCTTGAAGGATGTGAAATGTTGTTTGGTGCCTAGCTTGGTGACGAGTTCTTATAAGTTCCTCTCTATAAACTGTGTCCTGTTATCTATGAAGAGCGTCTGCAGCACGCCAAACCGGGCAAGTATATTTCTTTTGTAGAAACAGAGTATGTTTTGCATTGTGATTTTGGCGAGGCCTTTTGCCTCTATCTACTTTATAAAATAATCCACGCCAACTATTAGGTACTTTTTCAGATTTGACTGTGTGGTAAATGGTTTGAGGATGTCCATTCCACACCATGCAAAGGGCCACAGGGACAAGAGAGTTTTAAGCTAGTTGGGTGGTGCTAAGTGCATGTCTCCATGGCATTGGCATTTGTCACATTTTTGATAAGTTCTTTTGCGTCATGTTGTATGGTGGGCCAGTAGTATCCTGCATGCATGGCCCTTTGGGCGAGGGATCTCCCTCTGAGGTGTTTGGCATTTATTCCTTCGTGGATTTCACGTAAGATATGGTCGGATTTATATTCCTCACCACACTTGAGGAGAGGGATGGAGAATCCTTGTCTATACAACTTTTCCTCGATCATGACGTAAGCGCAGGCTCGGCGCCTGACCATGTTGGCCTCCTTTTGATTGGAGGGTAACTCTCCTGTAGCGAGGTAGTTGTATATTGGGATCATCCAAAAATCATTATCACCAATGGAATTTATGTCAAGAGTCGCAGAGGGTTTTTTGATGCTCGGTCGAGAAAGTATCTCTTGGATGACGAAATTGTTTAAGCCCTTTTCTCTTTGTGCTTCTGAGTTTTGACAGGATGTTTGCTCGTGTATTGTGCTTGCGAGGGTCGTGTCTTACTTCAGCGGATTCAAATTTTATTATTCTTTCTCAAACCAGGGCTAGATACTCATAAATATTATCGTTCTTGACTTGATATTCCCCTAGTACCTGAGAGGATACGAGCTGAGAATCTATGAAGATTTTTACCTCTTTAACTCCCAAATCTTCGACCAGACGCAGCCCCGCGAGGAAGGCTTCATATTCCACCTGGTATTTCAAGGTTGGGACGGATAAAGTGAGGGATAATTAGATCATGATTCCCTCCTCATTTTCAGGATGACGTCTGCTTTATTTCATGTCGAGCTGGATGCTCCATCTACGAAGATGGTCCACTTATGGGCTTCGATTGTCGGGGAGGTCGGTGTGGCCATTTCTACCACAAAGTCGGCTAGTACTTAGGATTTAAGATCCTTTTTTATCTTGTATCGTATGTCGAACTCGAAGAGTTACAATAACCATTTGAGCATTATGCCTGCCATGTCGGGACGACCAAGCAGCTGCTTTACGGGCTGGTCAGTTTGTAACACCCTATTTCTCCAACCATAATTTTAATACAAATCAGAGTAAATTAAATTTTTTGCATCAACAACAAATAGGATGTCACATCATTCAACATATCTGATTTTGCTCAATTAAGATAAAACAGATACATAACACACATTTCAGATGAACCGACAACATTTCAACATGGTCTTCAAATTTCAAATGTATTAAAGCAGCGGAAGAATTCCATAATCATTCCAAAATCTTCAACCATTATAAGTCAACAATGGAATCAATTAAAAGAGAGTTTACAAGACTCTCCAAAATCATCAAAAGACATTAATTAAATAAAAACAATTGAGCGTTTATCCCCCCGGTGTTACGTATAAGAGCAATGACACCCACTTAATAAGAGAAAGTAACATCTTCTAGACTCCACGACTTTGCACTACTCCTGGATATCTGCATGTTACCTACGCGGAGGCAACATTCAAATAGTAAGGATGAGATATCATAACAATATAATCATTTTATTAATTATAAGTAAACAACAGTTATCACGCACAGATTCAAGTTCAACAAATATATTACACCACTTCCACAAGTTCATAATTCAACAACTCAACAGTCCAACGATCCAACGATTTGATAATTTAACCAATGTAATGTAACTAACTTTGATGTAGAATACATGTGGTACCATCAAATCATAATCCCTCAACAAATTTCCATATAGGTCAGGGCATAAGCCCTTAACAATTGCCAATACAGGCCAGGGCATAAGCCCTCAACATTTGCCATAAAGGTCAGGGCATAAGCCTTCAACGATGTATGAAATGCGACATGATATAACAAATTTATGCAACCACAAGTATAATCATCAACACCAGGTCAATTATAGGCCAACATCATCTTCACAATACTGCAATATCACATGTAATCCCTTCGCACATCATTGATACAACACCGACACAATTAATCGTAACATTTTGCATTATAATACATACAACATACGCACACATCAGAATTCTTCCAATAAAACATTACTATATTGTCATAAAAATTATTACCAAATGTAGAAAATATTTTTAGCTTTCCAACGGTTCAAAGGGTGCGTCAAACAAACACCCGAGGCGAAAGTTATGATTTTTAAATTTTTTCCAAAAATGCTGTCAGTAGCAGTGGTAACCGGTTGCCCAGTTATGGTAACCATTTACCGCAAGACAGTAACCTTTTATTTTCAAAATCTCTCGTGGTAACTGGTCACCCATTTACGATAATCAGTTACTGCAAAATAGTAGCCAATTGTTTCAAAATACATACATCGGTAACCGGTTACCCACATATGGTAACCAATTACCCACCGCGAGCAGACCCAAAAACTTTATTTTTCTGCTACGAAACCCCATTTTCTTCACCCAAAAACCTCTTTTCATTAAAGGTCAAATTCATTCATTATTCCAAATTGTTGCACCCTAAAATTTACCTCTTGATTTAGGCTTATGTTTTATCATTATTGCATTGCATTCATTCATTGTGATGGGATCAAAGTACTTTGGTTATCAAGTCTTCCTCAAGCTTTGGAAGTTGATTGTATTGACAAGTTGCTCAAGGAGAGCCTCATTATATTAACCTCTGGATATTTCAAGTCCCAAGGATCTCTCATGTCTCAAGATATCTCATTTGTCTCATTGGTTTATCAAGAGTTGAAATATTGCAAAGATTTGAAGAGGAATCCATATGTCTCCTCCATCTGATAAAATTAGGGTTTTGACCCATTGTGTGACTTGAAGCTTGTCCAAGCCAATTTATTGAAGCATTATCTTCTTATTATCACTTGAGGCAATTTTGTTCAAAGAATTGCTCAAGAAGGTCTAGTGGAATTAGGGTTTTGAAGCTTGAGCATCATCCTCCTATACAGATGACCAAATTAGGGTTTTGGATTTAATCAGGAGTTCTTCAACTTTTTGATTAAATCTTGATTCCATGTGTTTCTATATGTTATTGAGCATTTATTATTGAAAGATTGAGGTTCAATTTTGATTGGAAATGAATCAATTGATCATAAGGGGAAAAATAGTCATTTTGACCAAAAGTCAACCAAAGTCAAAGTTGACCA